GTTAACAACAATATATGAGGATTTTAAGATTCAAAAATTGAATCTAAATGCTTACCATTCCGTTTTAAAAACATCAACTCTTTGAACAATTTAGGACACATTCTAGTTCTCTTTGCAGTTAATAAATTACCTGCATCCGAAAACAACCTTTTACTAGCAGTTGAACATGCATAAACAGCTAAATATTTTTTAGCAAGAAGATTTAAAATGGGAAGCTTTTCTTTTCGTTCATACCACCATGTAAATGGATTAATTTCCAAATCAATTTCTTCTAATTGTAAATATAAACCAACTTCATCATCTACTAAAGAAACCTTTTTCTTTAAATTTGCAAAAACTGTAAATACTTTTTTACCTTTACTCTCACTTACATTTGTTGTTGATGATGATGGTGAATTAGAATTATTATTTTGATTTTGAGATTTCAATTCTTCATGTTTTTCTTTTAATAAATTTTCAGTTACTTGACGTTCTGAATTAGTAACAAAACTAAGATCTTTCATTCTTGGATCTAAAAGACTAGGAAGAAGCATATCAGGAGATGTAAGATCATTCCAATAATGCTCCATTGCTGCAAAACAGTTGAGTTTGATTTTTTCAATTAAACCATTACAGTTAACGGGTTCATTAATTCTAATTTTTCTAGTAGCATTATTTGGTAGTGATTGTTCATCATCTTCTATCACAATCTCTTCATCAAATGCCATTTCATTATTATTTAAATTAATTCTTTCAACTGCTATAATACCATGTGATGTTATAGGATAAAATCATTTTTTGATATCAATTAATATAGGATTCATTATTGAATGTGTACAGTAATTACTTCCACCTAAAATTTCTGTAGCTTCTGCAAAAGGATTTAATATTGGTATTAAGTCACGAATTAGATCTCACTCCTCTGAAGTTAACATAATAAAATTTAATCTTTTATAATCTTTTTTAGAATCTTGATCATTCTTAGTAGCAAGTGAACCAATTAATAGATTAATATGCTTTTGCAGTTTCAAAAGCCATTTCCAAGTAAGAAATGAAGAATTCCATCGTATTGGTGAATCAGAAATAATATGAAAAAGATATTCAGATGTTTGTTTAGGATTTTATATTATATTATATATAAATTTTAATATAATTTCTAAAATATTAAAAAAAAATTATAAAAAATTACTTACAATTTTTTCTTCTTCTTCAAAATCATCTTCTGCTAAATCTGAAAATTTTTGTTGAACATCCTCCATACTAAAATATGAACTAAAATAATGATGGATAGTTATTTATGAATATTTAAAATAGCCAAATGGCGCAGCAACATCAAAAAAATTGAAAAGGTTCGAAAATTGTGTATCAAACGTTCACTTTGTTTTAGTTGTAAAAAAAAATCAATAAGACGTTTAGCACGTACTATTAAAATTTTTGCTAATTTCATTCCTTTTTTAATAACTAATTGCAAAGTGTGTGCTGTGCATCCTAATCAATTAACTCCTTCCATATACTGAATTGCTTTTTTAATATTACTGCCATTATCAGTTGTAATAGTAAAGACTAATTCACAAATTTCCATTCTTCCAATACTTGCTTAAGTGATTCAAGAATATGATCAGCGGTATGTAGATATTTTATATAAGCAATATCTAAAATAAATTCACGCAAATTAAATGTATTATCAAGAAAAGAACAGGTAATTCCAAGATAACCTTGACGATTTTTAGCTATCTAAAGATCTTAATTTAAAGATACAGATTTTACTTGATCTTGAATAATTTGTTGCAATTTTGAAAAGAAAAAATTAAATGCTGCACATATAATAGCCTTTATAGTTTCTGTACAAGGAACTATAAAAGCTGAATCTAATTGAAAAATAAATTGGCGAAATTTTGAATTATTAACAATATTAATTGCTTGAACATCATCTATTATCTAATCAACAAGAAATTGGCATAATTCTTGTTGTTTTTCTTTTGAATATTGACGCCTGTGCACCATTACATCTTGTTCTAAATCATCTGACTATATTTTTAATATAAAAAAATCATTTGATATTAATTAAGATTTATAAGATATATTAAATAAATTAAATAAAAATATTTAATAAACCTTATCAATTTTACCATCTTTAGTAATTCTATGCTGATTTCTTAAATGAGATGTTGCATTACCAGTAGAGCCACGACTTCGAATATATGTTTTTCCACATATATTTTGATTATCATCTATAATAACTTGACAAATTATTATTTGACGCTGTTGACCTTGTTTTACACATACATCTTCAATCCAATAATCCCAAATCCAGCTAGTTTTAACATGAGTATTTCTTTTATCTACTAGCTTAGTCTCATTAAGTGGTGGTGTATTCATTTTAATTTGAAAAAAATTAAGTTTTCGTTAAACTTTGATTGAATTTTTTTGATTATCAAGTGTTTACAAAAATTCACATGATTTACAAAGCTTAAAATATATTAAAACTCGTTAAAAACTTGTAAAAATTCTAATCGAAAAATCA